TTCAAGGAATATTTTAACCAGTTTGGTCATCATTTGTCGTTAATTGGTTGTTTGTACGGATAGTCGTGCTGCACTACTTTCTAGCTCTTGGGGGGCAATTAGGTAAAACACACGTTAATAATTCCAATTGAGCAAGCCTCTAACTAAACCTAGAACATGTATTTTGCATGTACATGATAGGCGTGTATGGCACTTAGAGGGCTAAAACCAACTTTAACCCTTAACTTTTTAATATGATACATTTAGTTATTTATCTTACAAAATTGATAAGTTTTAATCCCTTATATTACAAAATTATAGGTTTTAGTTCATCACCTTATATTATAACACTTTTAGTTCTTTATTTATACGAATTGAAGAAAATAACTCTCACTTAACATCAGATTATAGTTCTGTTAATTAACTGTCAGTTCTGTTAGTTGATTGTCAATTTTGTTAGCTAACTGTTAGCATCCATTAGCATTCTGTTAATGAAACTAACAAATAAAATTGAATTTAAATTTCATGTTTTCTATAACGAAATGTTAACAGATGTTAACAGTCAGTTAACAGAACCAACAGAATGTTATAACTTAATATTAGGTGGTAGTTATTTTTTTTAATTCGTATAGTGAGAGGTTAAAAATGTCATAATATAAGATGATGGGTTAAAATATATCAACTTTGTAATGTGAAAGGTTAAAACTTATCAAATTTGTAAGGTAAAGGATTAAAAGTGTCATATTATAAAGTGAATGGCTAAAACTTATCAATTTTATAAGGTAAAGGATTAAATGTTGGTTTTTGCCCACTTAGAGCATTTAGGGCGCTTGTGTTTCGTTTAGTGGTATTAATTTTTGCAAATTCCTTAAGTAACTAGTGATGATATCTTTTAGGAAAATGAACAAATTATGAATTTGAGTAGTATATTACATAATGGTATATATTAAGAAATAAAATATAATTAATTTTTTTATATAATTTAAAATTTTTAAAAAATATTATATTGCGTTGTATTATAATTGAAATGGTAGTTTTTTAAAAAAAAATTGAAAATATAAAATATTAATTAAAAATAATAATTTTATATTTTTAAATAATTTGTTGTGTAAAAATAATTTATATAAAATATTTTCAAATGAAATCTTAATTTAGCATGCATGATATCTCCCTTTTTGAATTGAAAATGTTATTTATTTATTTTTCCTTCGTCAATACAATGCCCACCCCATTCATTTGAGTTTGTAAATAAATTATTAAAAATAAATAAAAAAGCAATGTTTTTTTATAGAAATAAAAAAGCAATATTAGGTGAACTAATCTTGTAGTTTATATGACACCTTGGATGGATGCTTCGTTCCCGTTACCAACTAATCCCCAAAGTAATGAATATGAACACACTAGCATGTAACTTAATTGGCAATAAGGGTTGGTTCAATTTATAAAACTTTAACACTTCAACATTTAGTTCATAGATTCGAGTTCCAATGTTAGTAGTTTATAAGTGATTTGTAAATTCCATACAAGTCCCTAATGGGGTTGATGATTTGCCTTGGCTTTGTATGGATAACTTCTACTCATCCTAAACTTTTATTTTACATAAAAAACAAAAAAAGAAAAAAAGATCTTTTACAAATATAAAAATATGCGAACCTTGAAAATTTTGAGTTAGATTAATACAAATATATATATATATATTTTTTGGGATGGGAATACAAATAAAATTTAAATGGATTTGGACCATGCCTTTTTAAATCTGGACTTTAAGGCTTGTTGCCTTGTAGTTAGCAATGGGTTTAGATTTGCCTATCAGTTACTCCAGAAAACTTAGGGCCGAAACTCAACCTCTTGAATGATTAAGTAGGCCCAATATATAATAGCCCATAATTACTGGGAACGGGCCAGATTCAACTCGGAAATGTCAGCTATCTGTAGACGGCCTTCATGAATCATGAGTTCTTTGTGACCAAAAAAAAAAAAAAAATCGAAAGAAGCAGAAAACAGGGAAGCAGGAAGAGCAGCATCTTCTTCTTCATTGGAATGAGAATTCGTAACCGTAATAACCGATTCAAAATCCTGTATTGAAGATCAAGGAGGAATCCAAACCAGAGATAGTGGAGTGAAAACAATTGACGATTCCAATGGCAGATCCGAACCTGGATCTGCAGGAATCAGGCTGGGAGGAGCTGAGGCGTGAAGCTCGCAAGATCGAAGGCGATCTCGATGTCAAACTCTCTTCTTATGCTAAGCTCGGAGCTAGGTTCACGCATGGAGGTTCGCTCTTTTCCTCCTACTTCCCTTAACTTGCTCTGAGAATTTTACATCTTTGATTGCTATAATTTTCGTTTCATGCATTCCATTTTTGAGTTCCAGTACGATTTCGATTGACTTGATTGATTAGGGATAGATTTGGCGAATCTCGTTTTTCTCTATCCGATTTCAAGTTATGGAAGCTCTAGTCTGGCAGCTACTGGTTTTGCGGTTTGAGAAAATAGCTGGATTGCTAGTTTGTTTGTAGCTGTTTTTAAATTGATTTTGTGATTAAGAGGAAACATTGCGTAATTATTTTGAGAACTCTTCTTCTGTAGGTGCTCTCTCTGATCCCTTCCATTAGGTTGTCGTCACTGCATTTGTTCCATATTTGATTTTTTTTCTCCAGTAGTATTGCCTCGTAATCCACAAAATTTTACTCAGTGTTTCATTGATTTGCTTGGAGAGAGTGTTGAAGTGGAGTTGGCAGAACAGATTGTTGAAAAAGTATTGTGTTTCCTTTCAGAGAAATTAGTTGTATTTTTATATCTAGTGTGTGATTTCCAGATAGGGACTTTATGAAAAGAGAAAAAGATAACGCTTTCCTTCCCATAGGAAAGCAATTCTTTACTAGAAGTATAACATAAGCTGTATGGCAGTGAAGAACTGAATCTGATTCTGATTGTGTCAAAGTTAGTCTAGATGTTTGTTACACCACAAGCTAATAACAAGACAGACAATGTTGATTCTCTGTTTCCTTGCAGCATTGTTTCTTTAAGCCTTTTGAGAAATGCTGAAACTACTTTTTCTATTTTGAATCTTTTCTTAATTCCAACATTCTTTTAAGTCATGAATGGTTCATGTTGCTGTCTATGCAACTATGGATATAAATTTTTAAGATGCTATGTTGTAATATTCACAATTAAAGATTGAACAATTAAAGACCAGACATTGGTTTTTATGTTGTGTATTGCGATTCCCAAACAAGAAAAGCATTTTGGACCAGGCTGTTCAGATTGTTTTCTTGATATATACTTGTGTTCAGGTTATGTAGATGCTGGATCACCTACTATTGGATCCAGTCGATCATGGAAGTCTATGGAAATGGAAATCCAATCATTGCTTGAGAAGCTGGTGGATACAAATGATGCTATGAGTAGGTGTGCTGCCTCTGCAGCACAAACAACTTCAGTAACCCAGAAGCTGGCAAGGCATAGAGACATACTGCATGAATTTACGCAGGTTTACTTGGCCTCAATCTAGTATTTCATTGCTCTTGTTTCCATAAGTTCAGACTGCTGCATCAGCTAGCAAGTATTCTAAGCACCAAATGAAATACAACATCACATAATACATTCGACAAAATTATTTCTGCAAAATTGTTATATGCACTGTGTAGCTTCTTTTGTTTATATTCCATTTCCATTTTAGTATCTTTGTTAGATAATTTGAGAAAATTTGAAACTTAGAAGCAGTAAAAATTAGTTCAACATCATTCACAAAGATAATCTACTTCTTCCTCAGCTTTTTAACTAATGTTGATTTTGGGCAATGTGTTTCATGATGTTCATGTTACTGAAATGTCACCATTAGCATACTTTTTAAGACAGTTGGTATTCCCAGAAGCTTGGGTTTCACTGCTAGCTGTCAAATTTCAATCTATAATTTTGTAATTTCTTAATTTTTATTCCCTCTGGGTCTCTGAAGGGTAATAATATATCTTCTGACCTGCAGTTACACTAACGTGTAGCCTATAGCTTTGAATTTTGTTTCCAATTGATTTACCATGCTGCTTGGCCTCTGTTTCTCTAAATTATATTCTTTGGGACTACTTCCTCACTGCTGCTTGAATTGTTGGGTTGACTTGTTTATAGTTTTATTAAAGAGTTTATCTTGTATGCAAGTTAATGAGTTCTTCCGTCCTATTGAGAGGTTCTTATATATTCTGTCAGGAATTCAGACGAATCAAAGGAAATATAAATTCAATGAAGGAACATGCAGAGCTTTTGAGTTCTGTTAGGGATGATATTAGCGAATATAAGGTAATAGCAATTTTAACTGTGAACAATGTCAGTTGTTTTAAACATTGCTATTGCTGTATGTCTAAGTTTCTGGTTTCTGCCTTTATGTAGGCATCTGGGAGTATGTCTCCAAGAATGCAGTTACTACGAGAGCGAGCTGCCATCCATGGAAGCATAGCTCATGTGAGATTAAACTGTGTTTAATTCATATATATCTTGTTGCATATTTTTGAAGAGAATTTCCTGTTTTGCATTTGCTTAAAGATTTTAAGAGTGTGCAGAGTTAGATCATAGATGTTCTACATTAAAAAAAAAAAAAACTAACAACAACAACAAACAAACTGACTGAGGGCCATCAATTAAAAAGTTGAATATAGAAGAACATCAGAAATTATAAGCACTTTCATGATTTTCACCACTGAAAGTACTCTTGGATGGTTGCTCGCATTGGAAGGAACTTCACCTTAAAAAGTATAAGTTGATTTTTCACAGTCCTCTTTATCAGCTACCATAACGTCATAAGTACTAGATTATGTGAAGTTCTCTGTATGGCAATGGATGTGCTACTATTTAAATTTTGGCTTAACTTAAGCATAGTACATATATTTTTGGCTCTCTGACATGTTACACATGCACACGCACAAACACATCCATTCATGCTTTCTCACAAATGCGTGTACAACCACAACCAGAAGCTCATGCATACTTATTGTGTGCGCACATGATTCTAGTTGATGCCTCAAGCTTCACATGGTTGCCATAATATTTGCTTTTGTAAGTTGACCTTCTGTGACAAAAAGGCATCTTTAGTATCCTAGATCTGTGGTTACGTCTGGCATAGTATTCCCCACTTAACAGGAGTTCTTTGATTTCCATCTGCATCACCAACAACGCATTTGCTTGCTACAGATTGATGATGTGATTAATCAAGCTCAAACAACTAGGGCAGTCTTGGGCTCTCAAAGGGCTTTGTTTGGAGATGTTCAAGGAAAAGTAAAACTTTTGAGTGACAAGTTCCCTATAATCCGTGGCTTACTTGGTACTTGATGGAACACTCTGCTTTAGTGAGTTTTTATTTTTTATATTATTTAATTTTAACCAAGTGCTTGTCTTTTTAATTTCTAGGTTCCATCAGAAGGCGGCGTTCCCGTGACACTCTTATTCTGTCTGCGGTAATTGCTGCATGTACATTGTTTCTTATCATCTATTGGCTCTCAAAATAACAAAAGCACCAATGTTGAAAATGGCTATGTTTTACTAATGGAATTTTGCTTTGTAATTTATTAGAACAAATTCAATTTCTTTGTAGTGAAGCTTGGGGTTAGTTACATATTGCCATTAACCAAAATATGATCTAACGGTGTTTCATATGCATTCTGTTTGAAACAGAGAACTAGAAATAGGTATCTATGTTACGTTGACTTTTTGCCCTGAGTAAAACCTAGAAGCTACCAGTCTCAACAGCAGTTCCTTAGTATGCATCCTTGGGTCAATTTTTGCTTGTCGCCAGCTTTGGCTTCTTTTGAACTGCCTTTTATATTGCTGCGTAGAGTCGTACGTAGTAAGATTTCTCCTTGTTCAATTACGACGTGCACGAGGCTAGGTTTAGCGCATGTGATTGCTAGGTGCTTTTTTGGGTTTTTGAACGACAGCTTGGTGCTCTAGTTTGCTTTGGTTCCTATCACCCTATGGTTTTGCGTTATTAACTGGTCCACCCTCGTGTGAAATAACTTTTCCTAACCATAAACATCTAGATGCAATGGAACTACATGAATTCCGTGTTTCTCAAATGGAACATGTCTGTTTAAACTTTAAAGCACCCTTTTCGAAGTACTAGAATAGAATCTCAAGGTAGGCGAATGGCAATGACCAAGTGACCAAATTTTGGTCGCATGTCTAAATACAGAAGTTATTACATAAATTATTGGCATTAATTAGGACATGAAATCAATTTAAAGTCTAAAGTATTAATTTGGCTGAAGCATGGTGCCTCTGGGTTCTACCGTCCCAGTCCCCATGTGCCCTTGGGTCTCGGCTATGCATACTTCATTTGTCACCGCTGGGGCTCTGCATGCAGCGACAATTTTAAATTTTTACCCTATATGTGACAAATTAACAAAATACCCATTTTTATGTGGTATGAAACGTCTGAAATGTTTGAATCAAAGTCACATATCCATATATACGAGCTCTGATTCAACTTTTTACTTTTATTTTTATTTTGAACGATGGAAAATTAAGGAATTGGGGAATAATTACAAGGCAGAATACCTAAATCTATTTTCAAAGTATAGTGATAGGGAAGGATACATTTCAAACAAAAAAAATAAATAAATTCACTCTTGGACAAATCATCCCAAAATTAAATATCATTTAATGTTAGCAGTCCGTTAATGCGACGTCATCCGACGTTAATAATCTCTTAGTAACGACATAACAAATTAACAAATTGTTGATTTTAAATTAACAAATTTAAAGTAATTTATTTAAGTTGAAAACTTTATAGGTAAATTTATCTTTATTTTTTATTTAAGAATAGATCCATCCTTATTATTATACTTTGGAGATGAAATTGAGTATTTTACTTAATTACAATAATACTACAGTTGCAATTTAAACCTTGACAAAGAAGTCAGGATCATTGGTGCATGTTCATCGCGACTAATGCCCCACGTGCTCTTATTCAACTTTAATTGTCTTACATTTAATTTGGGATGAACATATTTAACAGTTTTTTATATATTTTATTTTAAGATATTATTTAATACGTTTATTTTTATTTTACCATTTACTTTACGAAAGTAATTACAACACTTGTTATAATTGTGTTTTCCTTTTTTATGGAATATAATTGCTTATTGAGGTTGTGGTTAATTAGGTATGCATATATATGAAATTTTATTAATTAGTTATTACATCACTATTTTATTAAAAAAAAATTGACTAAATTAAGGGTTTGTTTGGTACAACGGTTAAAATTCAATGAATAGCGAATAGCAGGTAGTGGATAACAGATAGTAGTAGCGGATAACAGATAGTAGTAGCGGATAATGGGTGATAGTTAGCGGATAGCAGATGACGGATAGCGAAAAGTGGGTAGCGGATGGTAAATAATGGATTCGATAAATATAACTGTTTGACTATACAATAGTTAGCGGTTGTT